ATAACGGGCGAAAAGTTGGTGAATTTTTAATAAAATTACCTTTTTTATCTGATTTAATTCAGAAATGCATTCCTTTCAACATCTAAACACCAACAAAAGAGAAGAAATTAATATACAAATTATGTTTTAAAAAATATTTCTGCAAGTACTTAATCAGTGCAACCACAATTATGGTCATATTCAAAATACTTGTATAAACTATGTAGGTAGTAGCTGTTACATGTTGAAATTTATCCATAGAACACACAAAAAATTTTATGAAAATATATTGTAAACACGAGTATATACTCATCACATGATGATGTCACTGTGTGGCGAAACAATATTATCGTGTTTATAATATATTTTCATGAAACTTTTTGTGTTTTATTTTAATAAATGCTTGTATATTTTTAAATCAACTTCCGATACTTTTATGGTACTTTTGAGGACAGCGAACAGAATTCCTTCTTGAACTATCTTAGTAAAGTGGGATTGTATCAAGTCTATTTTAAATCAATTACCAAGTCTACTTCTCTGATTATAAAGAACAAATTTCCTTTCAGAGGAGAAGCCAATTTTGGAAACAAATTCTTTTTGGTAAATCTTCAAAAACTTGCAGAAAGGGCTTAAGTTAATTTTTGTAACTGTTTGATGGAATTTGATACTATAACTATGATAGTTTGATTTTTAAATTTATAATTACTTAATTACCAATATTACTCTTGATAGTAATTTAAATAAGGCTGCTTGCAAATTTCACACAAAATGGTGCTGTCATATTAAGTTTTTTTAAACTATCAACTTAAAAAATTAAAACTTAAATCTGTTTTGGCGTTTACTAGTGAGAAATAAAACACACAATTAACTATAAAGATATAATTTTATAAAATACTCGCTCAGGTTGACAGGTTGGTTACGGATTTAGTTATTTGTCGTAGAACTGTAGAGGAACTAACTCTACTCTTGAAGATTAAGTATTAGCAAAATTTAAAAGGAGGAGTTAATTGTTAAAAAGAAAAAAATTGGCAGTTATAGGGACTTCCGATAGAAGTGAAAACTTAAAACTTTTAGTATTAAAATTTGAAATTTCACAGTGTTTGAATAAAAATTATGAACATCAATCTATTATCAATTATATGCATGTTTATATGTTTCTTTTATTATTCAAATATTTACATAAATTTCAATGTACTTGATTTTTAACATTGTTTAGATTTCACCCATCCTAACAGCGTCTAACGCCCACAGCACACGGCCGCTGCGCGTGCGCCAGTCATGAGCATGTCGGTGACGCGAACCCATAACATTTTCCCCTGTCAAAAAGTGCCCAACGTCCCTAAAGAAGTTTTCACTTCAATAAGGGAGTATCTAGAAGTGGTTAAACTAAGGTAGGGAACCAACCAGAAGGTGGTGAAATCTGAAATAGTTTTTACATAGAAATACAACGAAAGGACATAGACCCAAAAGTACCAAAGTAACCCACCATCAAAATGTAATTAAAAAGGAGTAATAATATTAGATGTCAACTGAAACTGAAATGTTATTAGGCATTATTGGAAAGTACAGGTTTAGTGAAGTATAGAAATGTGAACAAAAGAAATCACTTTTGAGTATAGAATAGTAATTAAAGAACAAAAGGTGGGAATGTTGTTGTAAGAATGTACATATTAGCGAGTAATCAGAATTGGCAAATCCACCTGAGCACACTGAAACGGATTATTTACAAAATAAACATATATACAAAAACACCAAATTTTACATTACATAAAAGTATATACAAAATTTAACCAAATTGCAATGAAACACAATATCGCCACGGTATCCCCCTGCTAGTGATGAAGATCACGAAATTACTCGTATTGTAGGCGATCAGGAAAATGAACTATTTTCGCAAATATCGCGTCGAAGACAACGATCGCCTTCCTTTCGTTACAAAATAACTAAAAGGAAACGCAGCGACATGGTGGCATGAGAACATTGACGGATCTGCTCAGCCCGAAGCGAAAAATAGTGTGGGCTATTAAACGTTATCGTCCATACCTGGAAGACAGGCAGTTCACATTAAGGACAGATAATAGAGCGCTCCAGTGGTTATAGACAATGAAGGACGTCCGTGCTAAGTTAACTTGTTGGTCGCTTCTATTACAAGAGTTTACTTTCTTCGTGGGACACAGTCTTGGTAGGTTAAACTAGCTACCAGATGCCCTTTCGCGACAGCCAGAGTCCAGCCCACGGAACGAAGATTTCACAGATGCCTCGCGCCTTGTACCACCTGACAGTACGCATGCGACCGCCCTGACCGCCACGCAAATTGAAGTGGTCACCCTCAACGAGTAGATCAGCCAAGCCCAATCGTTGGATCTGTTGGAGCCCAACATCCAATAGTTAAAGGAACGTTAAGTTTTCCTTCAGGACCATCCCGAAAGTTGTACCCGCGACGATCAGGACTTCCTCCAAGATCATCGTGCAAAGGATAACACCCCATGGAAAAGAAAGGAGAAGATTTACGAGATCACGAGTTCTACGATAAAGCTGGACATCCGGGCATTCAAGAAACGACTCGCCGAATTCGACGTTACTACGATTGGCCTTCTTTGAATCGAGATGTCTCTGACTATGTCCATCGCTGCCACATATGCCTATGCACCAAGAAACATCGCGTCCCTCCCGCTTTCATGCGCCCCCACCAACCTGAAAACCGTGGAATATCGTCGTCGTAGATCTGATGGGTCCGAGGGAAAAGGTTCATCTTGGTTGTAACGGATCTCTTCAGTCGCTGGGTTGAAGCGTTCCCCATCGGTTCCGCAACTACACCGACTGTGGTCCGCCTGTTAAAGCAAGAGTGTTCTATCGGTTTGGGTTTCCTCGTGCTGACCTCATTGATAATGGTAGTCAGTTTACAAGCAGACTCTGCCCCTCCGCTTGCACGAAATGGGAAAGCCAACACTGGACCACTGCCGTTTACCATCCTAGGGCAAATCCTACTGAAAGGCGGAACCAGGAAATAAAAGTAGGCCTTCACACTTATTTACAGCAAGGCAAACATAGCACTTGGGATCAACACCTGCCCAAAATTAACTACCTGCTTCCTTTAACAACCCGTTCGACAACATGCACCTCTAACAACAACAACCTCTACAGAAGGCCTATTACGAAAACTAAACTTTTATCTTTTATATTATAGTATTCAATTTTTCTGTTTTAGCTAATACTTTGTTAATTGTTGCACTAGATTTGTCTAANGTCGGCGAATCGATAAGCCGTTCACACACACGTGCGCCCGATCGCACACAAACACAGTCGTGCTCGCTACAATACACTATCTAATTTGCAGTTGTCCTTCACTGTATAATTTAGTTAAGAATGCAGTACCACATAACTTCAGCTTCGGAATTGTGAGTGTTTTAAGTGGCGCAACCTTCGATTTAGCGCATAATAATTCGGTGTATACCTTATTGTCCCAGTCGCCAGAACTTAAGTATATACGGACCCCATATGTATTCTCACTAGCGTCGCAAAAATAATCTAGTTGAATGGAGCGAGCATTGCTAATGAAGATTTCCTTTTTAAAGTAAAGGCTATTAAGCGTAGGAAGTTGGTTATAATACTGGACCCATCTACAATGAAGATCCATCGTTAACGTTTCATCACAATCCAGCTTAAGTGACAGGGCGAGCCATCAAAGACAACACGGACCTTTGTGGTTAAGCTATCTTCTTTCGTTACTGCGTGATGAGGAAAATAATAACTTGTCTCGGCAATTAAAAACTTGAACGACGGCAGTAACCATTAAATCAGTCGTTGCTGAATTGATTACAAGAGAAACAGGCCTGGCCGGTTTATGAGGGGCATCTTCTGCCCTTTGTGAAGTCAGCAAAGGTGTATTTCGTCGGCTATGGAGGCAAACTGGACGTATTTTGAGTAATTTTGTACCGTTGACCTTTTATTGTATATTGGTGTAAGAGAGTGTGATGACGTCCTTAACATTTATTACAGCCCTTTCTACAACTCCAAAGAGAATATCCGTGCCCATAAGATAGACAATTATGTCAAAATTGAATGAAAGTAGATTAATTTCTGGTAAATTTTCAACTACGGGTGCTTGGCGACTTAATGATGGTACAATTTGAATTTCACTTGAACTTGATGTTGACGGTGCCTACGAGCGTGTTTCACAAAGATATTTTCTTGCTTATTCAACGTGCCCTCCCCCAGGGTTCTCACCTTGTCGCGGTGGAGGGCTCAGTACCCATACACATGTTATGGCGAAGTTAAAGGGCACCCGGGCATCTGGAAGCAAAGTGATTGTGGGAAGCAGCCGACGAACACGGGCGAAGGTCCGGAAGAACCCGTCTGGTGTGCCAGAGATCGCCGCGGAAGCCCCGAGAGGAAAGTACGCGGCAGCTAGCGGTCGAACGCAACGTAAGCCCAGCACAGACGAGGTAGGCTAACGCGGGGGCCTCGCCTCACCCCCTGCAATAAAGCCTGCCGAGTCGAAAGGGAGGCTCTCTCGCTGCGGCCACCAACACCATTAGTGGCAATCGCATGGGAACCTACACAGGCGCCAAAAAGTCAGAGGTAGATGCCGTCCCTACCCCATGTCTGAGGCGAAGTAAGTGTCCTGGCAGGAGTGCGCATCAGGCGGGGTCACAGAGTTGAGGGTAACCTGACCCATTAGTGTGCAGCCTGACCCTTAAGGGGGCGTAGTAGCTCGGGCGAGCCAGGAAGGCTGAAGGATGTCCAGTGATAGCGAGAGTACAGCAAAACGGATGTTACTCAGCGAAGGGTGCTCCGAAGTAGCTGATGGCGACCGGAGAGCCTATACCGGTACTCGGGAGGCGGGGAGCCCACAGGAGTCTAACTTTGATTCCTGCCCCGCCAATGGGCGTTGGACTCGAGGTGGCAGCTGGGACAAGCCCGCATGCTGGGTTAGGGGGCTGTGTATCGGATCGCCCGGTTCGTTGTGTAGTCCCTGCATTGAACGCTTAAGCGAGTAGATAGGCCCGAACTTGGGGGTTACTCGCCTCGTTAACCCTCAGGCGCCGCATCGGTGGCTTGCTGGGACCAATCCGTCTGACGCAGGGGAGACCCCAGGGAGTCTTTTTTCATACCATCATGGCTCAGCTGTGTTGGTTTGACGTGTGAATTTACCATGCGTGGTATGGAGGCGCACGTTAAATCTCCATACATTATTCAACGTGCCCCCCTCCAGGGTCCTCACCTTGTCGCGGTGGGGAACTCAGTACCCATACACATGTTATGGCTGAAGGCTAAAGGACCCCTGGACATCTGGTAGCAAAAGTAATTGTGGGAAGCAGCCGACGAACACGGGCGAAGGTCCGGAAGCACCCGTCTGGTGTGTCAGAGGAAGCCGCGGAAGACCTGAGGGGAAAGTACGCGGCAGCTGGCGGTTGAACACGACGTAATGCCATCACAGACGAGGAAGGCTAATGCGGTGGTCGCCTCTCCCCCGCAATAAAGCCTGCCGAGTCGAAAGGGAGGCTCTCTCGGTGCGGCCACCAACACCAATAGTGATCCTTTGGGTAGCCGCACTCCCTACCCATGTCCAAGGCGAAGTAAGTGTCCTAGCTGTGGTG